CTAAAATCGCCCCTTCAGACAGCTTCTGGCCACCTCGCAGCTGTCAATCAGAAAAAGAAGGCAGCCTCATTTCAAGGTATTTAGTGGTAAATACCTCCCAGAATTTGAGACAAAGGGCCTGGGGAGCCAAAATGCTATTTTGAAGGACATATTCATAGTGGGGAAATTTCAGGCATCACAAGCCAGCCAGAAAGGGGGTATTTGGGGACAGGAAGGCTGGGGAGAAGCCCACCTACAGGACTGCCTCTTTGGAAAGCCTCAGCACCAGCTCCGCTCCTCTCTGAGTTCCAGGTCAGCCCCCTGGTCCCCTCCTACACAGCTTTTTGGCCTTCCCTGGGGGGATCCTCACATGCAACCCCACTTCAGTAGCTGTCTGTTGCCCTCTCTGGAGGCTTATCTTTTTCCTCTGTCATAGACAGGCTTTGTAGGTGTTTTTCTCCTCAGGCCCCACTTTCATTTTAGAGTCTTTGGTGGCTCCATGTCCTGGTCTGCAGGGATGGGGACAGAGGTGTGCTGGGCTGTGCTTGGCTCTCTGCCAGGGTCTGGTCCCCTCCTGTAGGTACCCCAACACTGCCTGGGAGGACTGCCATCTAGAAAGAGCTTGAACTTTTTCCCTGACTAGGTAACATCCTTGAGCCTCAGCCCCCAACTGTCCTCAGACCTCCACCGATACCCTGCCCTGGAAGAAGTGGCTTCATCTAGGGCAATCTGCCCATAATCCTCAGCTGGGAAAGACCTAGGGACCCCCATTTCTCCTGCAAAGTCACCATAAGCAGTTGGCTGTTAGCTGTGCAAGGCACAAGCTGAGCCTACTTCCTTTCTCTGTATCCATCCATGCCTATTACATAGTAGGTACTCAATAAACATGTTGAATGAACAGATCAATGAATGAATGAGTAGAAACTCGGCTCCTTGTTAATTTTCAGCAGGGAATGTATTGTGTGACTATAATATTCCACAATGGAAAGACAGTCAAAATAGACCTTGGAGCAGGCAGACTGGGTTTGAATCCTGACTCTGGCACTTACTAGTTTCAGGCTTTGGGCAAATTACGCAACCTCTCTGTGCCTTTATTATTATTTTTTACCTGGAACGTCGGGGTTATAATAAAACATACCTTGTAGTATTGCTATGAGGAATATGTGAGTTAATACAGATGAAGTGTGTGTAGGACAAGGGCCTGGCATGTTGGGAAGGCTCAGCAAATCCTGGTCATTGTCACCAGTATAATGTATACACCAGTAGTATACTGGTGACAATGTAGTATCACTACACAGAAAGACTGTATCAACAATGTTAGTGTCCTACACCATGCTAGGGACGGGGGAAACTAAAGGATTCCACCATCTCCATTTCTGCTTTCCAAGGGCATGCAGTAGTTAGGAGACAAAACCTACAGGAGAGTGTAAGAGTGACAGAGAGCTGCCAACGGTAGTGGGAGTTTGGGATAGAGGGTTTCCAGGGGACTGGACCAGTTAAGGAAAGGTCCTATGGAGAAGTGCGATGTGGAGGAGGGGCTGGGAGGGACGTAGGCTAAAGGAGGAGGCATGCTGGGGCCACCAGGTTACAGGGTGTGGGGAGGTGCCCACCAGGGTGCAGAGGGCCATGCAGGGAGCTGCCTTGCCAGTCCAGATGGGGCACTGCACATAACAAAAGGTCACTGCTTACATCTCAGGGTCCCAGCCTTTCCAGTTCTTTTGTAGCTCCTGGAAGCCATCTTGGTAGGAATGGTGTCCTTCCAACACCATTTGCTGAGGCTGTGCAGGAAGGCAAGAGTGATGGGGAACTCCCAGAGACCTCTCTTTGGGCCCAGAGAGGACTAGGAATGTCTGATGTTCCCAGGTGAGCTCTAACATCTTTGGGCTGATTCTCTGGAAAATGAACTTAACCCTCTACCTTTGATCACCAACCTGGAGACCTGTGGATCCTTTAGAAAAACTAGACATCAGTTCATGCTTGACTCACCCAAATGGGACACCATGAGCTGGTATGAGTTAGGGTTTCTAAGAAGTGATCAGAGGAAGGAGGCAGCGTCCGTGGGGAGTGTGGCCTGAGGACAGATGTCCAGTTGTGGCTGCAGGTGTGTGCTCACATCTCACCATTCCTAAATGCAGACTTGCAATTCCCAGAAATCACCTGGTATCTCTGCCTCTGCACAGTCCCTCCTACCTCTACTCCCACCCACAGCCCTGCTTTTCTGCCTGGCCTGCTCCTGTTCATCCTGCATGACCCAGATGTTGCCTCTTCTGGGAAGCCTTCAGGTCCGCCCTGGTCAAGTAAGTGCTCTCCTCCAGGCTTCTGTAGCATCCTGTGCTCCCATCGGCACTTTCATGCCGCTGAATCACAACCATCTGCAATTTGTTCTCTTCCTAGTGAGCTCCCTGAGATCAGGTACTAGGTCTCTTTCATCTTTGCATTCCTGGTTCTTGGCGTCATGCCTGGCGTAGAGTCAGCATCAATGAATGTTTTTGAAGAATGAAAGAAGGAGCTGGGCCAGTACTGTGAATAGAGAGGGAAATGAGGGCAGAAGCAGAGGCCAACATCTGGAGCAACCAAGCTACTTCCAGACACCTCCCGCCTCCACCAGCAGGCTCACTGTGGCTAGTGAGCAGGCCCAAGGTTCTGCCTCATCTCTAACGTGTCTCAGATAAGTTAGGAGAAATGCCTCCTCTCTCTCTGCCCATCCTTCCTTTTCTTCCTGGCAGGAGGGGCTGCTTCCCAAGCATCCGTGAGGGCATGCTGAGAGGCAGGGCAGGAGAGAGATGAGGGGGAATCTCATGCGCAATGAGGCCAGTTGGAGGACACTGGGTACAGACAGGAGCCACAGTATTTGGGGGACCAAATGCATGGACAGTAACAAGGACAGTCATATTCCTAAGGAGAAAGACTGGCTAACAGATTGCCCCTGGGACCTAAGGACTGATTGGTTACAGTGGAGGGGGACCTGGGTTGAAGTCTCTTCAAGTTTGTCCTCTTTCCAAAACTCCTTGGGTTCCTGGAGCTTAGAGTGAGGCAGTTCCTGCCTTGCCTAATCTGACACTAGGGCACGGGCCAAAGAAGAGTACCCACTTTCTGGATGGAAAGGTTGAGGCACTGGGGAGCCAGGCATCTGACTCCAACACATGGGCCTGAGGACCTGTGATCTCTATTGGCACTAACAGATGATTCTACCCCTGCTTTGGGAGTCAGAGAGCTGTGCTGTCAAGAATGACCGGCAGATGTCCCTGAACCTCTTCCTCCATGGACAGAGTGGTTAGTTAAAAATGACACCATCAACTTCCACCTGATGGGCCAATGACAGAGGCTAGTGCATGGGATGGCCCTGAATTCTAGTGTCACAATCTTTTCCACCCCAGTCCTCCTAACAATCACCATGTTTTCACCTTCAGGGCCATCTTGGGCCCCCTCCCCAGCATCCCTCTACTCATGCCCCATGTCTTTGAAGTGCCTCTGATATCTTTCCCCTCTTTACCATCCCACAACCACTATCCCCACCTGGACCCTGGCTACATCTCACTGAGATACAGCACATGCCTCTTACCGGGTCCCTCAACCTCCAGTTCCTCCCACTTCCAGTCTATCCTCCAAGGCTGCACTTTCTGAAATCTACCTCTGATCATGCTGCTCCCTTGCTCAAAACCTTCAATGGTTCCCTATTGCCTGTCAAATGCCCTCCAGGTCCTTTAGCTTGGCATTCAGAGCCCTCTCTGCTTGGGTCCCTACTCTCAGCCTTAACCTCCTCAGTCTCTTCATGATATCCCCTATACCCCAAGGCCCCAGGCCTGTTCTCTGTCCCTGGAAAGCCCTCCCTGTCCCTCTTGGCCTGCTGAAATCTCATCCATCTTTCCAGGCCCTGTATCATGGAAAGGCCCCAGACCTAACAGCAGAATGTGCTCTCTCCCTCCTCTGAGCACTTCCAGAAACCTCTGCCAGAATGAAAACTCTTGAAGAGAGAGTGGTCTCATCTGTTTTCTAGCCCCACAATGTGCAAAGTGCAGTCCTGGGTCCAGCACAGGAATAAGAGATGTGGAGTAAGCATGTGAGCGGTAAATCTGCATCATTCAGGCAATGTTCATTGAGCACCTACTGCGTGCCTAGCCCTTGCTACACATCAAGGATATGACAGTGACCAAGGCAAGTGTGGTGCCTGCCCTGTGAAGTGTAGGCAGCCCGTGCTCTAGAATGTGCTGAGGATTCGACACAGCTCCATTCACCCAGCTCCTGCAGCAAAGCTGGTTGCCTGTTGACCCGTGTTCAGGGCACATACACCATCATGACACTGGGCTAGGCTGAGGGTTCTGCAACAGCTCTTTGCAGTTGTATCCTTCCTCAGTCCAGGCCTTGTGTCTTTGGGATGAATCAGAGGCCTTACTCATTCATCTGCTCAGGGCCCACTCCCTGAAGGGCTCAACATCCTCCCACCTGTCCCGAGGGCTGGGAAGCCTGAGACCTCCAGATGTTGCAGGGCCTGAGAGGGCAGGGGGCCTGACTGATCCCTAGGAACAGTTGGCTCTGTCTGTGGAGGAGGAGCAGAGGGATTCTCTTCACTCCTTCTCACCTGTCTTCTGATATGGGGAGGGGAGGGAGAGGAGGAGAAAGAGTGGAAGGAGAAGGAGGAAAAGGGAAGTTCCTAGGTAAGATATTCCAACCCCTGCTCCCTGTGGATCCACCCCAGCACTGAGACCCGTTACCACCCAGAGGTGATACATATGTTGCACCACATGGCCCAGCCCTGACAAATCACAGTGGACTCTGACTGAGGGCTGCAGCGGGCTGGGGAGCCCTCATCACTTTAGTTGCTGGATTGTGGAGAGAATCAAGGGTTCCCAGGGAGGAGCAGGGGCAGAAGGGGTAGGATACTCAGAGAATCTGAGCCATGGTTATTTACCAACTAAGATAGAAGTATTTTCAATACTTATTTTAAATATTTGAACAGCTAGTATGGCTGCATCAGTTCAGTATAGCCCTGCTACCAACAGTGCCCATACAATCATATCAAATCCAATTTAAAACCATATATTTTATTGATGTTCTTCAAGGACAATACAGGGCCATGTGTACAAATGCTACTCAAGTCTCACATCTGGCAACCTCCCCACCCTCATCCCCCATTGACCAGTCTGCAAGCAGTCAACATCCTGTAGGTCTCCCTGTTGCCCTTCCTCAGGATGTCGGGCCTCACCGTGCTGAGACTTCAGGAGGCTGAACACGGCAGGGCTGGCTTCTAAGCTTGAGCTCTGGGGTCAGGAAAGAGTCAAGACCAAAATTGCCCAGACCTTCCCCTCCTCCCTCTCCCTCCCATTGCTTAAGTATGGCCAGAATTGGGGGTGAAGATGCCCCGGTGACTCCTCCATTGAGGCAGCCTAGGCTTCCCCCCTTCAGCCATCTCTATCACATCCTTTCTTTCCAAATAACCTGCCCCACCAACCACCAAGATGGCAGAGTGACCATTTTTCAGGGGGTGTGAATCAGTGCACAGACGGCCGTGACAAGGTGCCCCTGATGGCATGAATCTTGTCACCCTGTTCACCACTGCATTGCCAGTGCCTGGAAGAGGCTGGGAACGTAGTTGGCATTCAATAAATATATGTAGGATGGATGAATGAATGAATGAATATGGGAGGGAGAAGTATGAGCAGGTCTAGCGAGTACTACATTAGCTGTCTGGGGGGCGTGAAGGCAGAACCACAGTAAAGTCCTCCCAGTCTCTGCTCAAGAACCCAGGGTGTTGTGCAGCTATCAGCAGATCCCTGTGGTCGGCGGTTGGGCATTGCAGGGCGTGGATTCAGCACTACTGCCTGCATGGATGTCATACTGGCTTTGGGACCCAGTCAGGAGGGGGCGCTTGTGTTGTCCCTCCTCCCTTATATGCCCCAGGGGTCTGGTCCTCTGGGTTTCAGAAAACACACAGTAGTGCCTCCACCGGAGTCAGTCAGATGCGCAGGGATGGTCTGGGAATTGCACCCTTATATTCCGGTCATCTCCACTCCCCAGCCTTAACTCACCACTGCCCCCCAATGCCCTGCCACTGACAATGACACGGCTCCATCTCCCTGTCCTCAAATGTCAGTCCCCGCAACCACCCAGGTAGCCCTGTCTCTGCATAGACTCTCTCTTCAGTGGCTGGGTTGGGTACTGATCTTCAGACCCCTCCCATGCCCACACTCCCCTCCAGGAAAGCAAATATCTCACAGGCATCTCCGCAGATCTTGCCTCTGGGTCCAGCAGTCACAACCAGGACACCAGAACCTTGGGGTTGGAAGGAATGTGTAAGCTCACCTAGAATGACCCTGTGCAGAAATCTCTTCCACAGCATGCCGGCAGACGATTGCCTAGACTCTGCTGGAATACCTCTAGTGATGGGGCACTCACTACCTTCACAGGCAGCCATTCAAACACTGAAAAGTTTCAGCTGCTGGAATGCCCTTTGTATAGGGCATAAATGAACCCAATTGTCCCTCTCACTTCTCCCTTTCCCCTAGGCATTATTCCTATATGTTTCTAACAACACTTCTCACCACCATCCATCTCTCTCTCTCTCACACACACACACACACACACACACACACACACACTTCCATATGGTTATACAGTCGAATACCCCCTTCCTTTATCAGTAATTCTCTTTCCCTGTCCCTTCTTCCTTGCCTTCCCATCATCTGGCAAAGACCTGGGGGCTGGAGATCAAGTAGAAAGGCTGGAAGAGTTCCAGGGAGACGAAGCATCCACCAGATCCTGGACTGGGCTGGGCTGGCCAGATGGGGCAGGATGGACAGGGAATAGCATTTGGAAAAAGCAGGCCATTGACTTCTGTCTCCCAGAGAAAGGGTCTTGAACCTAGGGGGTTGGGTGAGGGAGCAGCAAGCTACTGAGTTCTTTTTCCTACAGAGGGGATGCGGACACACACCCACTCTTTCCCAACTCCCCTAGCTGTTGGCAGAGCTGACTTGGCTGCCTCTTACACATGGTGATTTTAAACATTTGCCAGCCTCTAGGTCCCAGGGAGTTTCATACCAGCAGCAAGAATCCACTCCCCTCTCCCAACATGGAGGCTGAGAGGAAGGGCTCTAGCAGACAGCAGTGATGAATGAGACCTGGTGGAGAATGGATGAGCCAGGAAGAGGGGGAAAGCAGGGATCCCAAGGGGAAGGAACGAAAGCAGAGGCAGTCTAACGGCTAGCAGCCACCTGGCTGGCTCGTGAGGAGCCTAGAAATGCCTGGGGGGACATTTTTCCTCCTTGTCATAATCCACCAGCCCACACTGTTCTCATGGGTGGAAGGCGGGGGGAAGATGCTAGGACCTTACCAGCACAAGGTTGTAGTGGGTCATGGGTGGAGACAAGGCTGCCATGGTTTTATGCTCAGGAGGAGTCAAGACAGAGAGAGAGAGAGATAAATGACGGGAGTGTCTGCTACTTATCCTGCTGCTTGGAGCTCTCACTTCCGACATTGAACATGGGGACCAGCAGGCCCAGCAGCCACCTCTTTCCGAAGACCTCTTGTAGGTTCTTGCGCCAGGACCGGGCCCTCACTGCCACCCCCTTCCGCATCTGGTGGCGGGTCTGCCCGCGGAGGATCAACAGCAGCTGGTGGCAGCAGAAGCCAGCACAGGCCAGGCCGATGGCGAACCAGAGGTAGAGCATGAGGATGACGAACATTTCAGAACCCAGGACAGCTCCTGCAGGGCAACGGGAGGGGAAACACCAGAGCCGCTTTACACCCAGGCCACCTGCAGAACTGTGATCTAGGCAGGCTTTCCACTGGGAGGGAGGGAGATTAATGAGATTGACACTACATTTTGTAGCAACCTCAGCACTGCAGCTGCAGTGAGGGAGAGGAAGGAAGAACCAGCTGCCCTAACTTTTTCTTGGTGCAGATGGCACCTGAGGCAAGAGGGGAAAACTGGAGACCTGGCGAAAACAGCTAAGTTTGATGAGCTTAGCAAGGAGAGCCCTCAGCTCCTGGGGCAGCATCTGGCCGCTGATAACATTTCTGTAGAGTCGGAGATGCCTGTCTCTCTCTGTTTTCTCCTTTTGGGCTGGAAGCAGGGTGAAGGGGTTTTGCTCAGGAGGAGAGAGGGGTGAGCTGAGGACCCTAAAGAGGGAGCGGGTGTCTGGGCAGATGTCTAGACCGCAGCACCTTCTCTATACTGTCCTGGGAGCGCTAGTTGAGAGGACTCAGGAAAATGACAGCATGATGGAGAGCTGGGAAGAATAAGTCATGAGTTTAGTCTCAAGAGCAGCCCAGAGCACCAACGCAGAGAATAATTCAGTCATTAATGTTAACAAGAGGACAGTGTGGCCACCACAGCATTCCACCAGAGCTGGTTCTGTCAATCAAATCTTGCTAGAAGAGGCCCCCAAGGTCATTGGCCCTGTGTCATGGGGCAGGATCTCCCCAGAATCCCTCTAAACCAAGCACTTCCTCTTACTGGTTTGAAATAATCACTGAGTAACAGCTCCCACACTCTTCCTCAGAGTTTGGATGGCTTGTCCATGCTAGGTTTGAGTCTCCCAGCTGTGTGGACTTACACAAGTGTCCCAACCTCTCAGCTGAAGTTCACTCATCTGTACAATGGGTATAATAATACTAACGATTTGATTCAGCTGCATGATTCAAGAAAATGATGTACAGAGTGGTCAGCATCCCGGTTCACACTCACTGTGGTGCTCCCAGCAGAGGGTCATTTTTACAGAGCAGGAGACTACATCCAAAATGAGTTCAAGTTTAACTCCTGAAACTATCAAGCTTTCTCCTTCTCCTTTTCAGGGCTTAGAGTCCTGGCTGGGCTGCAACTTTGGCAGCTGTGGTAAAGACACTTACATTGATCTGCCCAGCAGCCAGGGCACTGGACCCTGGAGTTAATTCGAAAGTCCTCCATAGCCCTTGGCTCCCTGTAGGGCAACCCTATCACCTCCTCTGGTGGGGTGGGGGTATCTCCTCTAAGGACTCCACCTTACAACCTATTCTGCCCCTGAAAATCTCAACCATATTTTGCCCTTTCCCTAGCCTTCTCTTGCCCCAGCCCACCTCTTCCCAAGTCTCTCCAGCCTCCAATTTCCAAAGTCCTGGGAACTGGTCTTTCAACACTTGTCCAGTATGAGCAGTGGTGGACTCAGCAGTCAGGGAGGATGTGGATCTGATTCAGATTCTCTCATTAGCAGCCTCCTCTTGTCCTCATCCCTAGGAGCTTGGATACCCATTTTTTTGTTGTTGTTGTTTGTTTGTTTTTTGTTTTGTTTTGTTTTTTACAAAGCTGGAGACAGATAGGCCCAGCTGCCATTTAGAGCAGCCCCTCCACTGGCACAGGGGCAGTAGTGGGACAGGGCTCACATTGGGCTGTGCCATTCCCCTGACCCACTTCTTCCTTGTTGGCACAGATTAGCTTGGGCAGCCATGTGCGGGATGGAAGATCCCAGGTCCATGGTGCCCTTTGGTGTGAGGAATGCTGACAGGCAAAGATGGCCCTCGAGCTGTGATGTGAGAACATCAGAGCTGTCAAGCTTGGGCCTGCCTTGCAACACTGCCCCAGGAATAAGCCTGGGCGGATGGAAGCCATTTCCCACAGGGTTTTTTCCTGGCACTAAATCAAGGCATGAGAAAAAGACCTTGCGGCCTTTTCTTGGCCCCATGCAGCAGCTACAAAAGGCCATTCTGGGGACCTGCTTTGTCTAAAAGTGTTTGAAGTTACCTAGCCTGGCTGCTTCAGCTCCTCTTAACTGTGTAATAATAGTTCTGCTTCTTTTCAAAAATCACAGAATTTTCCTAATGGGCCTAAAAGGACACATCAGTCAATCTCCCCTGCCCCTTCCTCCCAACAAGCATCTATAACACCTTTGACAAATAATCACCCAGCATACTTTTCAGTACATCCAAGGACAAGTAGCTGCCTCCCTCCCAAAGTGGCTCATTCCAGAAGCAGCTTCAGAGAGGCAGCCCCCAAGAGGCAGTGTGGTGTGGTGGAAAGAGTATGAACTTTGGAGGCTAGAAGCCCCAACTCCAAATCTTGATTTGGAATCATACCAGCTGTGTGGTGTTAGTGCAGCTTAACCTTGCTGAGTCTTTGGTTTCTGAGCCTTAAAAATGGATATGATAATATGGACTTGTCATGAGGAATGGGTGAAATGTGACATGCATAGTGGATGGTACATAACAGGTGCTCAATGAACTTTAGTCCCCTTTCCCTCCTACTGCACCTTCTGGTAGCACCCATCATGCTGGTGTACTTACCCAAATGCCAAGATACAGGTCAGATGGTGGCATCTCCATTTCCCAGATAAGAATAAGAGTCAGAGAGGTGACACAGCAACCTGTACTGGTCCCATAAAGCCAAAAGAAAGGGCAACTTCTGACACCTAACTAACTAGCTGCCTCCCTCTTTGGATTAGCTGAGGGCGTGTGATTGGCAGCCACCTTCACACTAGAAGACCCCTCCCACTTTTAGCTCTCAAGGCCCAAACTCACGGCCATCCATGCTCTGGTGACAGATCTGACTCAGATCTGCACCAGAGTTAGGGACAGCTCAATTTCTTTCTTTCTTTCTTTTTCTTTTTTTTTTCTTGAGACAGGGTCTTGCTCTGTAGCCCAGGCTGGATAGAGTGCAGTGCCATTATCATAGCTCACTGCAGCCTCACACTCTTGGGCTCAAGCAATTCTCTCACCTCATCCTCCTGAGTAGATGGGACAACAGGCACATGCCACTATGCCTGACTAGTGTATTTATTTATTTTTTATTTTTGTAGAAACGGAGTCTCATCATCTTGCCCAGGCTGATCTCGAACTCAATTTCTGTTAAACAACCCATGCTTCTTACTCCTTCCTGTCCACCTGCCCTCCAGAGCAGATGAGAGACGGTGCTACCAACTGTTCGGATTGAGGGTTGGGGAACAAGAGGAATAGGAAAGGGAAAGCTGAACAGGTGGGGTGTATGTCATGGGAGAGAAAGAAGGAGGGTTGTCAAGAGGAAAGATGAAAGGTCACAAAGGATGAGATAGGAGAGTTAGAGGTAAGAAGTCTTGGTCGCCTATTCCCAGCGGATATGGTGAGGAAGTGAAAGACACTGGAACTCATCCTTATGCTGGCACAGGAGTCTGGGCCCCAAGGTGGGCACCCACTGGCTCTGTTCTCCCATCAGATCAAACCTAGCACATATGGACAGGCCTCAAGCCCAGATTTATCTCAAATCAAACCATTTCAAGGTCTTCCTTCTGGAACCATCCATTTTTACGGTTGGCGAAACTACTTGGAAAAGAAAGTATAAGCAGGCTTGTTGGCTCTCCTCATCCCTCCACCTGCCTGTGCTCACACTCCACCCCCTAGCCCACCCACCCACCCTCCCCCGTCCTGGTTATTTTGGTCCCAGCAGCCTCCTGTGCCAGTGCTGGGATCCAGAAGGCCTGAAAGCTGTGAGTTCTGGACCCAGCTCAGCCACCAGCCCTGAAGGCAGCCCCCGTAGCTGGGTCCCCTCTGTATCTCTGTGTTCCCACTGCCAAATGGCATGATAGTTCTGTGCCTGGGAAGAACTGGGCTGTAGTCACCACAAAGACTGAAATGATGGCTTCCCCCAGAGTAGAGCAGAAATTTTATGAATGTTCAGCCCAGGCACCTCAAAACAATCTTGGGCTTTCAGTGGAAGTAGCTGCCCCCTGTCTTTCTTTGCTCCTAGAAGGCCAACAGGTGAGGAAGCATGCTCTATTCCCTGAGCCACTACAGAAGAGCTGTGGATTAAGGACCCGAGAGGCAGACCAGAGACTGCCACTCAGTAGTAGGAAGATACTGGGCAAGCCACTTAATCCCATCTGAGTCTCGGTTTCATCATCTGAGAAATGGAGATACCAATGCTATACATGCAGGCCCAAGCACGTAGACACTACCGATTGTGGAAGCTAAGCCATTCAGAGTCAAAGGCCAGGATAGGGAGGAAGTGGAAGGAAACGCAGTAGGAGCCAGTCTCAAGGCCGAATAAAGTGGTAAGAACTGCCACCAGGAGCTGAGTACTTCTAGGGCCAGATATCAGGGAGTGGTCCTTGTGCATACTAGTTAAAGTGTAGTCCTCAGCCAGGTGTAGTGGCTCACACCTGTAATCCCAGCACTTTGGGAGGCCGAGGTGGGTGAGTCACTTGAGGTCAAGAGTTCAAGACCCGCCTGGTCAACATGGTAAAACACCGTCTCTATTAAAAATACAAAAATTAGCCGGTGGCACGCACCTGTAATCTCAGCTACTCGGGAGGTTGAGGCAAGAGAATCACTTGAACCTGGGAGGTAGAGGTTGCAGTAAGCAGAGATTGCGCCACTACACTCCAGCTTGGGTGATGGAGTGAGACTCTGTCTAAAAAAAAAAAAAATGCCTGCCTCTCCCACCCAAGTTCCCTCTGCTCTGAGCCATCGGCAGGCTGGAGAACAGGCTGGTGAGGTCAAACATAATAGGCAGGAGGACGAGGTTTAGTCTCCTGCTGGGCTGGGCTGGCAACAAGTTCAATATTACTGCAATTGGTTGGTGAGACCTCTGGAGAGCAGAGTCCTTGGGTGACATGTAAGCAGGACTGGGGTCCAGGCAGAGGACGGTCATAGCATGGTTGTACCTCATGGGGCTACATGGAGGAATGGCCAGCACCCAGCCCTGCCTGGCACAGAGCAGGTATATTACCTGGATGCCACAACTCTGTGAGCATATGGACAGCATGATGGATGAGGATGATGAGGGTAAGGGGGGATGTGGCCAATAAAATACAGCATGTCCGCTTAATTTGCATTTCAGATAGCCAATAGCAAATTTTCTCAGTGTATCTCATACAGTATCTGGGACATAATTATACTAAAAAATTATGAGTGGTTTATCTGAAATTTTAATTTAGTGGAAGGGTCTGTATTTTTATTTGCTAAATCTGGCAACTTTTGGGGCTGGAGTTTGGGGCCCGGCAACCTTTGGGGTGGGAGGTCTTTGGGTAGAGCCCAACCTGCCTGCCAAGGCCCACTCACCGGAGAAGAACTGGCTGATGGAGGTGGGCAGGAGCGTGAGGAAGGCCAGGGGGTGGGCGAAGGAGATGGAAAGGACCGCGGAGATGTAGGCCACGCCGGCCACCATGGAGTAGAGGCAGGCCAGGGAGGTGTAGAGGCAGAACAAGACGAAGTTACGCATGTTCCTGCTGCCGATGCAGTTGCCGGTGAAGAAACAGTGATGGTCGTGCCTCAGGGTGACTCTGGCGCACACTCGGCAGAAGTGGGTGCTAGGTGAGGGGCACGGAACCTTCCTGGTCGAGGCCCCCTGGCAGGCGCCCAGGTCGTCTGGGGAGTTCTGGATGACCAGGACGTAATTGCCCAGGGCGTTGGCCGAGAGGAATAGGAAGAGCGCCCCGTGGAGCAGGGCCGGCGAGAAGAGCCGGGCGGCCGCGGGGTCCTCGCGCATGCTGGGCAGGAAGAGGAAGAGCTGCAGCACGAAGGTCACCAGGGAGATGCACAAGAAGTAGGCGGGGGCCACCACGTTGAGCAGCCGCAGGGCCAGCATCCTCGATTACATTCCTGCGGGACCCGGGGTGAGAAGAGGACTGACTGACTGCGGCGTCCAGGGGGCGCCCTCGCGCGCTCCTCCGTGCCGCGCCTCTGGGGCTCTGCACGCGACTCCACGCCCCCAAACCCCTGTCCCGCCGATTTCCCCTCCCCAGTTCCCTAACCGCGGACCAGGCAGGCCAGAGACCCCGAGCCCGCAGCGGCCTCGGGTCTAGGCCCTACCTGGGGGTGAGTGTTGCCTGGGGTTTTGAGCGAGCTCGGCGCCTTGGCGCGGTAGAGTCAGGCACAGCAATACAAGTTGTGAGGGTGGGGGGCGCTGGGGGATAGGACTCCTCCCCTCTGTGGCTGTGGAAACAAGCCCAGGTTTGGGATTTCTGGTTCAGACCTCCCTAGGAGGAGAAAGGGAAGGATTTGGGGTCGGGGGCAGAGGTATCAGCGGCATTTGAGCTGCTGGAAATCCTGCTTCACACTTCCCTTTCTCCTTCCCTGCGCCCCCACCCACACACACATCTTGGGCAGCACTCAGGGACCTCACCGGTTACCCAAGGCTCTTTGGAGGTATGTGTGCGTGCGGGACCACGATGTGTGTGTGTGTCCTTGTCTGTGACTCTGTACGTGTAATCTGTGTGCGCTTGAGTATCTGTATTTGTGTATGTATGTATCTGCGTGTACAAACACGCAGCCTCTGCCACCTAGCTTAAAAAAATCAATTAAAACAATCGATACACTCACACTCGCTCTCGGGCACCGGGTGGGGTGGGGACGCAGCCAGAATACCTGTGTCAGCGGGTCCTGGCCAGCACATCTCTCCAACGCTGGCTGCCCGGGCTGTTTCTTTGCAAAGAGCGTTTTCATTTGAGGCGAAATTAAAATCCCCTCTTCGCGCCCGCCTCCCGCCCTCCTGGTGAGAGAAACCCAAACAACCCTCATGGCGCCGAAATCCTTTCCATGCTGACAAGCACGCCCTGGGCGCACGAGTGGATGCTTGGCCGGCCTTTCCTGGGATCGACCCCGCCGCCGTGCGCAGCCCTTGCAGCGTCCCCATCCCACTCCACGCCTCACAGCCGGGATTCCTGGCCAGCTTCGGAAGCCACCGAGAAATAGGATTCCGTGCGCCCGAGAGAACTTTTCCAGGGGCTAAGGAATTGGCCAGCCGGAGGCGCGAGAAAAGTTCTGGGAAGGCGGTTGCACCTAGGATGGGCGGATGCCACGGGGCCTCCGTCCAGGCTGTCCCGTCAGGACGGGGCGACTGGTCACCTTGGAATTCCCTTTGCAGGTCCCAGCGCCCCCTGGGAACCCGCAGCCTCCGCGGAGAGCGTGGGCCTCTCCCTGCCGCTGGGGCGCAGCGCAGTGCACGCCAGAGGGTGGTCGCGGGGGGCTGGGCACCGCCCCCAGTCATGCGCCGCCGGGGGCTGCGGCGGCGCTGCCCGCCCCAGAGAGCCCTTGGCCTGGGGCTCCGGCGAAGCAAGTGCCTTCCCCGCGCCGGTCGCCAGGGGGGCGCGGGAGCAGCCAGATGCGCCGCAGCGCTGGGAAGGCGGCGAAGGACAGGGGCTAGGGGAGTGAGGGGCGCTCGGTGGGCAGTCTCAGCCCGGGCCCTGCGCGGGAGAAAGGGCAGCAGAGACCGCCCGTGGGGCCCCGGGGCTCAGGGAGCTGTCCGTTGAGCACTGGCGCCCGCCTCGCCCGCGGCAGAGGGCGGCACAGCCAGAGCCTTAGAAAGACCGGCAGCGCCGGCGGCCGCGGGCTTCTCGGCCACTGCCTCCCGGACGCAAGGGAAGCCGCCCCCAGCGCCTCCGCCGCCGCACTGCCGCCGCCGCAGAGGGGTGAGGAAATGAACTCACCGAGCTCTGGTCGCCGAGAAGAGGAGCCCCGGACGCCGGTTCTCGCCCTGCCCGAGGCTGCAAAGTTGTGAGCTCGGCCCGGCTGGCTCGCAGCCTGCGCTTCGCTTCGGGAACTGGGCAGGTAGCGGGGATGTGGGGAGGAGGGAGCGGGCAGCTGCTGTTTTCCCACTTGGGCGCCAGCGAGTAGGGGCAAGGAAGCGGCGGGGACGGCAACTGGGCACCCCCCAGCCCCGCCACCCCTCCCTCCGCTCCTGGGGGCGGTGCTCTGGCCGCCAGTCTCAGCATTATGGACTTGCCCCCTCCTCCCCCCTCGATTCCCCTTGAGCGGGCTGGGGCGCTCTGCCTGGTTTCAGCTGCCCGTTCCAGCTGGGAGATTGGGATTCAGCTCTGATGTGGATTCTCAAGCCATCATCCTGCCTTTCCCTCTCGGCTATGTCCCACGACCTTCCCTGCTCTCCACTCGGACTGAAGGAACCCTGGGGGTTTGAGAGGTCGGCTTGCCAGGGCAACACCCGTGAAGACCAGCGTCATCTCCTCGAAAGGGCTGTGTACAGAGGATTGGGAGTTGGGACTCTGGAGCCTGTCTACCTGGGTTTGAATATTCACCATTCACTACTGTGAGATCTCAGATTCCAGTTTCTTCATCTGTAAATTCCAGTGTAATCTTAGATTCCAGTTTCCTCATCTGTAAAACAGAGATGTGAGGGTTAAATGAAAATCTATGTAAAACCCTTAAACAGGGCCTGCCCAGGGCAAGCACTGCTTGATTAGATCATAATTAGAGACACTACTTATCGCGCCCCTGCTAGGTAGCAGGCACTGCACTAAGCCTTTAGCATAAGACGCTTCCTTAATCCTCTCAGCCTGATCTACGAAGCTGGCTGAGCCCCATTCTGGGGATGAGGAGGTTGAGGCTCAGAGAAGCTAAGTCGCATGTCTAAGGTCATACAGCCATTAAGTGACAGAGTCTGGACTTGAACTTTGTTCTAGCGTTAATGCTCCTGCCCTCGGCCTCCACACAACCCAGCATCACCATGGGACCCATGGGCAGCTCTGATTTGGGAGAAGGAAAGACAATGGGAGTTTATCCAGACACAGAGCTTGAACTTGGAGCTGCTTCTTCGGGCCCTACCCCCACCTTCCTATTTCTATTTCCTTCCCCTTCCAAGGCTCCGCTATTCTAAGGTGGGTACCGTGATGCACCAAGAGGGTAGTCACACCAGTGTGTATCAAATAGTGGGGGGCGGGGGGAGCAGAGCCTTAAAAACATCAAACACTGCAGGAATATTGGTGCCATCACCATCCTCAACTTCCTGGGTGTCGTAGCTCACCTACCTGCCCTGTTCCTCTCCTCTGGGTGATGGCATACTTAATAAATAAATACGTATTTATTGCTTTCTCAACTGGCTGATTAAAACAAGAGCAATCCCTTGAAATGAGGGCCATATGCTAATCAGCTCAGCCTCTATTCTCGAATAACCAGACACTGCTCCTCTGTAATTTATCAGCATACATCAAAATAAAAAAGAGGCCAGGAAACCTTTTCGCGTTCTAAAAGCATCTGACATGTAAGTGAAAGAACAGTATGCCACATGGTGGCCGTGAGCAGCTGGTAGCCCTGTGAGTTCCAGTGGCCACAGAACAGACACGGGGAGGCACACATGGCCCTTTTTCCTTCAGAGCAGCTTTGTCTCATAATTGTGGCTGTCTGGGCCCCTTTTCACAAGCACTGTCTGCCTCTCACATGGGCTTGGCAGGGAGGGAGCCTGGGGTGCCTGGGTTTGGCTATACTGACTGAAGATCTCCATTCCCCAAATACCTTGTGAGTCGGGTGGTATTTCTAATTTTATTTTGCATATGGGTGTGAGGTGGGAAGGTGTGTGTCTGAATTTGTGTGTATGAGGAAAAGGAAAGAGAGAAAGAAGCTAAGCGAACGTGGGAAGATGTTAGTGGGGGAAGGGAGTATTCAGTCAGGAAAAGGAGATCTGGTCGTGGAAACACAAACGGACAAGGACGATTATTTATTTAGAAATATCATTTATCAGCAGAAGAGGACATTAAAGCTTCAGATCTAAAGCTAGTGGTTCCTCAGCTCCCCTTAAGGAATGGAGTGAAGGGAAGCACGGCAAATGTCATTTTATTTTTCTAAAACATATGCTTATCCCTGACAAAATCAATAGGGAGGCAAAATCAATATGAAAACTTCACTTGGATTCTGGCCCCATGAGAGTCAAGCAGACTAAGAATGAGCATTTTATTGCCATTTACCAGCTGTGTGACCATGAGCAAGTCATTTAACCTCTCAGCTCTCAGTATTCTCCTCCATATAATGGGAATAAGAATGCTGCTGTTACTTTGTGGTGATGATGATCAAATGGGATCATGTAATTTAAGTGCCTTAGCGTCTCCCACATCCTCTTTAGGGCTCCTCTTTTCATCCACAGAACTCTGTTCTCTTTCCAACTAAAATGAGAGCTCCTTGCTTATGTTGGAAATGTTTTGGGGTTTCTTCCATATTTCCTAATAGGATGATTTGCCCAGAGTCGACACTGAGTAAAAGTCTCTTGATCGATGAATTGCTACTGGTCTGTCTCTGAAAGGAAGAGCTACATTCTGAGATCTTTGAAATGTCTGGTGAGGACCAGATGCAGTGGCTCACACCTGTAATCCCAACACTCCGGGAGGCTGAGGCAGGCGGATCACCTGAGGTCAGGAGTTTGAGACCAGCCTAGCCAATATGGGGAAACCCCGTCCCTACTAAAAATATAAAAATTAGCCAGGCATGGTGGCCGGTGCCTGTAGTCCCAGCTACTCAAGAGGCTGAGGCAGGAGAATCTCTTGAACCCAGGAGGCAGAGGTTGCTGCGAGCCAAGACCACGCCATTGCACTCCAGCTTGGGTGACAGAGCAAGACTCTATCTCAAAAAGAAATGTCTGGTGAGGACACATTTGCCATTGATCTTGCAACCTGCCACCACCCACCCTGAGTCTAATCTCATCCTCCATAAACAATGACAGAAATAATTTATAAACCACACTCTCCATTGTTCTTGTTGTAGATTCCTATAGTTAAGCCATGACTGTACCTTCAGGCAGTACGATGGGGGCAGGGACACAGATAAGCATCTAATTGCTGTCCAGCCCTTTCCTGGAGATATGCACCCTCAATCTTGCTATTTGGTGGTGTTATTTGAATAAAATGAATTCCCTTTCAAGTGGAAATTATTCCACTTTGCCTCAGAGTGTTGTATTACAAGGAGAGAAATCCATGTAGCAAGCAGCTTCTGCCTTGAGTGAGTAACCCCGCCTCCATGTCTGTCAGGCCTATAATGCCCCAAATGTTTTGGATGGAGACTATTCCAAGATGCAAGGAGCTGCACCTAAGAAGGCTGGTGGGGGTTTTCTTCATTCTCATGCTCTTATTTCAGATAGATCAAGGTGAAGATAGGCTTGGGTCAGGATGCTCTTTAGTGCTGACAGCAGGTCATAGCCAGGGATAAACTCAGAGTGCTTCCCAAGCCTCAGAAGGCTTACAAAGATGCCATCCCTGCCTGCCCAGATTTGGAAAACATGCAAGTGTAATCTTCATTTTAGCCAACTAAATACATGAAAATTGGATTATCACAGAATTTCTATTTGGAGGTAGTAATTTATTTTGCTAACTATGTCTTCATTTTAACAACGATAACATTAGTTTGATGTAATAAAGTGCTTTGCAGGCTACAAAGTACATCCACAAAATTAAAATTTCACCCCATGAATCTCTCTCAATAGCATAAACTAGCTGGGGCGAGAATTATCAAACCCATTTTCCTTATGGGGAAACTGAGGTTCAGAGATTTGCTGCATGTTAATTTGCAAGGCTTGACTATGTTTGATTTGAAATATGACTTAATATGCAAAACAAATCTCATTGATATCTAACTTTTCTGGAACATGTCAGTTGCATAAAGGAAGCAGGTATGTAACATACTTCTCCAGAGTAACAGACCTGAAGGATCTCCCTTTACCTAAAACTGCTGTGCTCTGCACTCTGCGTCCCGTCTACTCTGCTTTGTCTTCAACAACATTTATCACCACTTGACAGGTATATATTTGTCTGTTTACTGTCTGTCTCTCCCCACTGAATTCTCAACTCCAAG